CGAATACCTTTGAGTATCATTTTATCCTTGTTTAACATTCAGTGAACAAGAATAAAATGACATTCGGAGACATCGGGTAAATTTTTTGAACGCAGGTTACAATTTTTGTAGATTAGGAAGAATATTATAATCATTGTGGAAGTATACATACCTGTGCGTGTTCATCCGCCAATTCTCCTACAACAGCAGAATATGGTAAAGCTTCGGTGGTACGTAACAGCCTTTGTATAGTTTTCTCTAAATGTCTACGCGTCTCGTTCCATATACGTTCATTCTGAATGGTCTCAAGCCAACCATGAGGAAACCATTCATACTTCAAGTGATTGGCATCTCGTCTCCATATGATGACGATATGTAATAAGGGTTCCAGTGGACTGCCTTCACCGGTTGACAGTGCTGATACAAACTCAGGTTGCGTATCTTTGAATACATATGCATATCTAACACGTTCCGTGCTATGAATCATTATTAAATAAAATATTTAATAAACATATAAAAATTATTATATATAATATATCTTTATTAAAAACTGTACTTATATTTAAAGTGAATAAATGTGATTAATAATTTTATAATCATACAATGTATTAAAATTTATTAAAAGAATTTGTTTATTAGATAGATTATTACCTGTAAGATGACTCTAATGCCGCTTGTCTAAATTTGTGCCTAGCTATGTCGTGCAGAGGACTATTCTGCTGCGATATCAAAACGGCGCACAATCGCTTTTGCGGCCTCAGCCATTCAGGTGGACATATTGAATCTAACATAGCTTGATTTGAAAGTCTCGGTAATAAGAGAAACTTATTATTAGCGATAACATTATGCATAGTTTCACTGGAAATGTCTTTCATACTAACAGACGCCATAGGTTTCTCAGAATTCTCATTAAAAAGCAATAAAGTATCTAATTCGCCTGAGATTTTATATTTTGACGTTATATTCTTAGTTTCTGGTATGCCAATCTATAAAAAAAATATTTAAAATGATAATTAAGAAATAATTTGAAACTTATTAACATTGATTATATGTATATCATAAAACATTTACCTGAACAAAGCCAAAAGCTACTCGATCTCTATAGTAAAAGGATGTAAGCAAATATCGCAAGCGAATAAAGTCTCTTTTCTCAAATATCAAAGCGCGTATTCGGTTATCCGTCCAGCCCGATAGGAAATTTTCTATGTTGTTATTATTAATAATACTTATTAATTTATATGGTAGCCTACTTCGTACAAATTCTGCAGAAAAATAAAAAAACGAATTATTAGTTCGCAACTGATTGAGAGTTTATAAAATGAAACAGCGAAGACAAAATACATTTTTAAAGTAGCAAACATACCAACAACTTTTTGAATGCCAAACACAGATTCCTTGTAAACACTAGTGCGTCCATCTACGATAACAACGAGACATGGAAGAGAATGAATGCCGAGTCTTCTCGCCAAAGTGGACTCTTTCTTAGCATGTGCTGTAGCCAAACCAAGTCCCAGAGGTTCCAATTCATCGATTAATCGTCTCCAAGTAGGTTCCGCTTGCAGACACATGTAGCACCAGTCAGAATAAAATAAGATTAAATATGGCATACGGTAAGTCTTGGGCACTATGACATTCTCGAACGATCTGCAATTTACGAAGCATTTAATGTAATTTCAACGGCGACGACAAATCGTTGTGCACGCGTGAAAAATACATACCGATATGTGATGCTCATTTTATGGAATAATGTGATGTCTCTGCTTTGATAGTGAAATTTAAAATTACCAGTAAACAATTCTTCCAATGGATCAAGAACATTGAAGTGACTATTGTCTCTCCTTTGCCTGGGTATACCTTCCTCTGTAATTCCATGATTATCAAACTTTCTTCTTCTTTCTGGATCTGTCAAAAGCTAAACAATTTGTTGCGATAAATTAATTTTCTCTCGCTACTCTTTCTCATTACATACATTTTAGATAAAATATATAACTTACTTCATAAGCTTTTGTTATTTCTACAAATTTATCCTCGGCCATCGGATGATCAGTTTTATCTGGATGCCTAAAAAAAAATGTTTTGTACCTAGAAAGAGCATGTTTCTACCCAGATAGCCAAATCTGCCAAGAGCAATGTATTGCAAACTGCGAATGTTATGGGTGCGATCTACTTTAACATGAGCATCATTTGTTTTTGTTTAATTCTTGAAACAAGGATAAAATGATCTAAAAGCATTGTGAGCGTCAAATAGAAGGAACCTTTATGTTACAAATATTTTAAAACATTTGACTGACCAATCAGAAGAAAGAATTTTGATCAATTCAAAAACTTTTCAAGTCATTTATATCAAGTACCCTATGTTAGTAAAACTGTAGCAATAGTCGAGTACAGTTTGCTGTTTTTCAATATTTGAACTGTATCAGAAAATCAGCAGATCCTGTGTAATAACATAACAGCTCTATCTATTTTTTATGATTGAACTAGCACATACTTATACTTAAAATAGAGTTATATTTGAAATAAATATATATTTGGCAGATAAGCAAGATAGAAAATGTTAGTTACAGTCCAGTGCAGTGACAAGAACAGGCCTCACAATGTACGCTTCATTTCTGCTGCACATCTGTTATTACATTAAGACTAGCAAATCATACAGTGAATTTGATCACTTGCCCTACACTGGATCAATGCATGTTAAAAGCTACTTTATATAAAATATCTCAATGCAGTGATGCAATATAATTTGCAAATATATAATGCAGTAAAATAAATATAAATTGATTAACTTTGATAATGAAATGATATTTTGTTAAATAACGTGACAATATCATTAGTAAATAATTAATCGTTTAAAATATATATATATTTTTACATTTAACTTTGCTAATTCCATGTAAAGCAGTTCTTGATATTGCACTGATCTGACAGCATAGTGCAAGTGATCGAATTCGCTATTAGTGGCAGAAACTAAGCTTAAAGAGGATAAGGATAGGAATCTAAAATGATCAAATTTGTTAGCAATTGCTAGATAGGCATACCGCTAACATTTGGCTATCTAGATACATTCTAAAGCAGAAACATATTAGATATGCCATTTACCATTCCTTGACGAGATGCTTGTATGCCTTTCGGATATCCTGCAACGTCGCATGCTTCGACACACCTAATATTTTGTATGGATCACCCAAGGAATCGCCAGCAGCCGCCGGTAGTGTCAACTGGAGGAGCCCGAAAAGGCTCAGCAGCAGAAATGCATATCTCATTAACGGAACAATACCGGTGACTCGCGCAACATCGCCGTGGGTTTGCCGATCACCCGTCATTAAAAAATCAATCGACAACATCATTCGCATAGCGATGGATCTCACGAGGATCTTCTTGTATGCGGCACTATGCAGATTATCTCGTAGAGTGTTATGGACCAGCGTGACGTTACCGTTCCCTTAACACTGTTCGGTTGTCACTCGCGCTCTCCGCTCTCGTCGCGCTCGGGATTACATGACATACTGTCGTGCGAATCGTCGTCCACCTGTCGTCGTTGTTATATGGAACGTTGCGATAACGTCGGTGGAAAGGAAGCCTTTCCTAATTTCTCACATCACACTCCCCAAACTACAATCGCCACCATGTTGCACCGGAACGGAGGGACGAGAGACATCTCATATCGGATAGGCATATCGAGACATATAGATATTATAAGTAATAGGCTAGCAGGCTACTTACTGGCTAACGAGGTCTTTTTATTCCTGCATTAGACTGCACTAGAACTCTCTTTTTCGTCTTCGCCAAATCTTAAACATATGTCTATCTCTCTTTAAGTTCCAAAAGTGTACACCAGTTCAATCAGAAAACAGAAACAGAGTCCAGGATTAATAAAACAGTTTGAAGCGTGTTCAGATTCTCTAGGTGTTCCCCAGGTGTCATGTCATCCTTGTCTAATATATATACGATAAACAACAAGGATGGAGTGATACCTGGATGACACTCGAGTGGGAATCTGAACTCAGTACTGCAGACGACGGCGACGATGCATGGTGAGTTTTCATGAAGCTCTCGCGAATCAACGCACTTCGCTGTCATTGTGTCGTCGCTGTGATTCGTTTTTTTTGTTCTGTTTGGGAACGTTTCAGCGCGTGCTTCGGCCTGCCATTCAAACTCTTCAATGACAACTTCGTGCAACCTCGTGTCTATAGGAGATAGCCCGGTACCCACTTGTATCATTAAATGTCACAATAATTTATTCTCAATTTGTCACGATGTTACATTTGTAAGTTACGTTGCAATTATTACAATCTGTGTCTGCACAATTAATTATGTTTGGTTTGTCGTAATGCTTAATTGTTATTCTCTATGTTTATCTTTGTATTTTCTTTGATGATAGTGACTTCGATGAAACTTGAAACTCCGATTAGGTCAATCAATGATCGATTCGACTTTCAAAATATTACTTGCAGTAAAATTTTTAGCATAATTTATCGTTCTTAATCTGGTCGTTTTTCTTTGTGACAAGTAAGAGCAGGTTAATAATTCTGAGCATATTAATAATTCTAAGCATGTTAAACAGGTATTAACAATTTAATCGTCGGTTAAGTTAATCAAAATTTAGTCGGAGTTATCTTCAAGTTCATTTCTATCAATGTAGATAATTTTAAACGCAGGTTAATGAGCTTTTTTATCTTTTTTTAATTTTTAGAATTAGAAGATAAAAAGTAAGTTAAATCAAAATTAAAGTTCTACATTAGAAATGGACATTAGTTCCATATCGAATTTTTTACTTCTCTCTTTTTCAAATTTGTATTGAATGTATACATATACATTATACGAATACTAATTTTATTTATATACAGTAAGAGAAATAGATGCATCAAACATTGCGCAATGTCATTTTGCTCCAACATGATTATGGATAGCTGAAATGTATTCTATACAATCTCTCTGAAAGAATGACAAATATTTATGAAAGAAAGAAAGATAATAGAAATTTGTAGAGATAGCTGTACATTTTATAATTGTCAGAAGTCATTTTTGACAAGTTGCTCCAAAGTATGCTCTAAAGTATATAAGTACCAAATGAACACTATGCTTTGTGTAACTCTGTGACATGTGCTTGAGGCTTCATAAAACGAGCTTCATAAAACGGAAACTATAACAGTGATTAGAAGGTATGATGTTATTAATAGTTATTCATAATAATAATTAATAATAATTTAATATTGCAATGATAATTTAATATTAATTCTTAATTCTAATTGGATATTTTAATGTTAATTTTTGAAATGCAGCATGACGTCGAGGACTATATGCATCGCTCAAGAAGGACCTGCAAACGCCTTAGCCCTTAATAAAGATAATAGCCAAGTTGTAATAGCCGGTCGTAATGGTGCGTTTACATAAGTTTAAAATAAGATATATTTTAAAATATAATTAGGATGCAGATTATTGCACTCTGACCAACGTGGTCAAAACAATTAATTAAGTTTACTTTACCAAACTTATTTTCTTATTTCTAAAGAAAATAAATGTGAGAATTATATTATAATAATATTTTATTACAGTT